CCCCCTCTCCCAGCCTCCCCCCACTACCATCGTCCATATTCGGTGTACCTTAATCCAGCGTTTACTCGGGCCAGTATTTCAGCTATAGTTGCTGCGTCTACTTTAAGTAAAGTTGATCCTGCTTTAAGTTTTCTTTCCTGTTCCTGAGTTAAAAATGGAGTCTGGATAAGATATGCTATTAACATGGATGTTCCTCTATTAAGCCCCCATTCTAATATAACTATAATAATCTTTTATTTGTTAGAACAGGCTGATCATTTTGGCAGCTTTCTCTTATGTGGGCCTAGTTTCACTCACACTCGCCACAACTTAATTTTATTGTTTTATGCACACAACGCGCATCTGTAGAGCTCGAGCCAGAGACCCGACCCGTTGGACCCGAGAAACGATGCATTAGCAGTGTACGCCACCCATGTCCCCCACGTAGAGTCTGAGGCTCCAAAAATCAAATAAGCCCCGAGCCTTTAATAAGCCCCCATTCCTATGGAACTTAGTGGTCGTTTCCCCTTGGTAGGCCTTTATAAGTTATTTCACCTGTCGAGATTATGAATAAAATTAATTATGACTTTCTAAAGACCAGGAAAAGTTATTACTGCGATTCCCAGTCACACGTCCACCGAAACTCGATTTTTAGTTTGTGATGAAGGTCAAGTTGATCGGTTGTGACTGGGAATCGCAGTAAGCCCCAACCCTCTAATAAGCACCCAGCCCAAAATCATTGGGGAAGAAATAGTAAACGTAAACTCCCCTTGGGCTTAGTAGAGGAAATGTGGTAGCTGCATGTATAATAGACCTCCTCGGCTCGGGCGTAATGTTTTCCCATTTCAGACCACGTGTTATTCCCTAGAGTATCATTTCTTTGTTTAACGGCTCGGGCGTAATGTTTTCCCATTTCAGACCACGTGTTATTCCCTAGAGTATCATTTCTTTGTTTAACGGCTGCACACATGAATATGGATACAACTCAAACAAAATATTTTATTCTCAAGGGAATGACACGTGGTCTGAAATGGGAAAACATTACGCCTGAGCCGATTAGTTCTATTCCCCATTCCCCTGATCTCGCAACAGAAAACTGAAGGGTACAGAGGGCGCAACATCGACCACAGTGAGCATCATATCAGTGAGAATCTGCTCTTGGATTAATTTTGAATGTATTTTAATGAATGACGTCATCAAGTGTCCTTAGGAACCCTGTGTCCCTTGTCTCCCTCAAAATGACAGGAATGAAGTACCATAACTTTGACTATGACTCACCTTCAATTCTAGAGAGTGTTTCAACTTCAGTCTAGCCAATTCTTGTTCTAATTTTTCTATGATACTTTGGGATTCAGCAAACTTTACCGCAGCCTGTAAGAAAAAGGGGAAAGTACTGATAAAACTGTCAACTAATGAATGAATGAATCAATCAATCAATGAATGGATCGTGTTTGTTTAGAGAGGGTAACACATGACAGTAGCCAACTGAGCACTGCTAAACTTATGGCCATCTATATTTAACGTCTCTAAATGAGACGGGACCGCCAAAAGTGGTCATCCGAGCCACGGCGAAAGTCTAACCATTTGCAAGTATTTCTAGAGCAAAGACAGCACCAGTCAGCTCTACTAGATATTTTAAGACCCTGAGTGTTGGTCCTGCCGGGACACGAGCCACGACCTCGTCCCGCACGAAAGTCCGATGCTCAACCAACTGAGCCAACCACGAGGGGGTACAACTGATACAGAGTTTGGTTTTTGAGGGGTTCCCTTATAGAAAATCACTGCATGTTTTTCCGCCATTTGTGGAACATACTTGGACCCATCGGTGCGTCGCACATTCAATAAATCGTAGATTCAAATAATATTAATTGCTAGACTAGCAAAAAAGGTAATTCTAACTGATATTTGAGCGTACCTTTTCAAGTGCCTGTTCAAGGTGGTTAACTTGTTTCTGGTAGTTTGCACATTCTCCTCTTGTTTGTTGGACATCAAATCTCAGTTCATCTCGGGCGAGGACTACCTCATGTAGCTCTTCTGATAATCTACTACTCTTGGACTCGTAGTGCATCTTATCCTGAGACAGAATGAGAAGTCAGAATAGTGATACACAGAGAAACGTCAAAGCAATCGCAAACGACAATATTACAGAACTATGGTGAAATTAAGCCAAAACCAAGGATTATTGTTTTCTTTCTTCGCTTCTGTTTTTTTTATGAGAGTTTGCAAATAAGCCGAAGTTGACGTATTTTACGCCAAAGACTGATTTGACTCAACAAAACTTAACAAAGCCCTGGATCAACTTGAAGGCAAGAATGTGGCCAGAACCATTTAAAATAAGGCAAAACGTAGATTGCTGCGTACGTCCGAACGCAAACCCCGGGGAAAGGAAATTTGCGATCTCTGATGCGCAATGATAAGCAGGAAAGGTGGTGATGGTTAACTTTGGAGCCGGGGTTTGAAAGTTAGTATTTTTTTCAGGAAAGCATGGATTATTGTCGGCAAGAGCTTGAACCATGCTGTTTTTAGAACTGTGCGCAGTGTACACGCATAACGTTTCTCACCATTGTCTACAGGAGCTGAATAGAATTGATGGATTTATGGATTACCTGAACCGCGGCGTTAAGGTTTTCTTGAAGCCAATGGATTCTGTTAATGAACAAAAAATACGATCTTTACGTATCTCATGATCCACAGCGCATAAAAATTATTAGATTATGAAACTTTTAGCTAAATTCATCTTAAAGCTGTTCAACCAAACCTTAGTACATACTTGTTCAATAGCGAGTCCATTTCTCCTCGTTTTTCCGTCACTTCTCTCTGCATTGTTTCAGCAACGCGCACAGCTAATGATAAAAAATAAAGGTCATGCGACATGAGTCGTGTATTTAACGGCTGGTTTAACGTTCAGTGACCGGTTATCAATTAGATAGGGGTCGTGTATTTCACTTTTGATCTGCATAGTTTTGAGACCCATCCGCCCATCTCCTGCTGCAGAAGAATTGTGGGCCCCCATAATCTTTTACGCACAAAACACAGTGACTTCCCCTTGAAAGCTTGCCAGATTTTTGTCATCCTGCTTTTGTGTTTGCATGAAAAATAATGACGCCTCCCAACCCCCCCCCCCCCCCCCCCCTCGCAATGACCGGTCCCTAGTGTCATCTATTCAAAGTNCCCCCCCCCCCCCCTTACATTAGCAATGACCGGTCCCTAGTGTCATCTATTCAAAGTCTGTACCTTTTCCGCTCATTTCTCCTTTAGATTTCAGCAGTTTCTTCGTAAGTGAAAGATCTTGCTCGGATCCTGTTGGGAAAATCCTATTAATTATAAACAAGCTTTCAAACATTTATGGAAATTTCACTTGACATTTTTAGGTCAGACCGATTTACAGTGAACAAAACTAGCCCACACCGGTCTCGCCCGAACTGTGGCTTCTCGGGAACTTTTGACTCTTTTACGATAAAAACTAAGGCCTTACTTCCCCAAGCAAATGAAACTGAAAAAAAGCAACGAAAAAAGTAAGAGCACTTCACTAGCCTGCTTTGCAGACTTGATATTTTAAAGCTCGTATCGAACCTACAAAGCAGGCCATCACTTCACACTTTCAAGTTAAAATCCTTTTCTTTCTCTATCTACCATTCGCACCTTTTAGTCTCGATATCAACTTGCCAATCTCTTTTTCTCGTTCACCGTCTTTTCCTTGGATCAAGTTATTTAGGGAGTCGCGCTCTTCTGTTAGTTTTACGACCTCTACTTGTCTTGCCTTGAGTTCAGATAGCACGTTTTCTCGTTCCTCAGTCCATGCAGCAAGTTCCTCGTTTTTGAGATTTAATGTCTTTTGTATATTACCATTTTCTTGTTCTAATTCTTTTACTCGTTTGTCCTTAAACAATACAAATTGATATTAATTGCGACATTGTATAGAATGTATAATTTTACAACACCACGTACAGTTCACTAATCGCCTCCAGGCAGACCAACATCTGTACTTGCACAAACGAATTAGAATGCGCAAGGCTTGACTTTACGGGTACGTTTCTTTATTACAAGATGACAACTAAATGCAGTTGCCCACTGAATTATTCCGTTTAGTTATTCCACCAATTGAAACCTTTCCGCGTCATTTTTATTAACGTAAAAAAGGCGCGCGTTACTAGATGAATCGTTCTGCCTCTGGATGACAGAGGTCTATTATTAAAAGGCCGTAGCCACGACTTGGACAATGGTCATGTTTTTTAAAGGTGGTCCTGTGTAATTTACTTGTGTATGATAAATGTGTATTTACGAGAGGGAAAAAGTGTTCTGAAGGTAAAAAGTGGTGCGGTTGAAACTGGATTAACCCTACTGGTTGCTACGGCCCTGTATTAGCAACGTTCGTGCATTAATGCTATTTCCATAAACATTTGAACTCGCTAGCTGCGTAGATGTTAGCGAACTGAAATAGCAGCAATGCAAACTACGGCGCAAACCTATTTAGTCATTAGAAAAAAACAAGCAAATTATACTGAAGATAGTGGCTTTTCGGAAGTTCCTCGGTGCTCTCAGTTATGGGACCGACTGATCTAAACCTTCGCCATTTAGAGTTCTCAAATACACCAATAATCCTTTGCAACGCGCGTTTGTTACCAATCTTTCTTCAGTGACTGGCATAATTATTATGCATCAGCTACCTTTGCTTTTAGTTTCTTAGCCAATATTTCTCTGTGTTTCTTCATTTCTTGCACTTCAACGACCTGTTCTTCTACCTTCTTTACCAGCTCTTCTCGTTCCCTTTGCAGCGAATCACTCGCCACATTATTCCTCTCAAGAATCTCAGCCAGGTTTGTTCCTTGTTCTCTAAAAGAAGCTATTGTCCTCTCTCTTTCATCGAGTTGTGCTCTCAACTTTTCAATCAGAACATGAGCATRGTTTAAATCCTGTGTTATTTTGTCGGAATACTGTACTTTTAATTCAAAGTCTTTCTGTAGTTGTTCAGCTTCCTTCACGTGCTTCTCGTGTTTGGCTGCTAAATCAAGCTTCTCCTGTCTTATGAGAGCCATTTCTTGCTCTCTCTTTTCTAAGTCATATCTCATCTTATTGTTTTCTTCCAGCGCCTTTTTCAATTCTGTATTCTTGTTTTCCAAKTCGGTTTTAAGCTGCTCAGCTTCGGAGCTGACTTTGTTAAGTTCAAACAATATGATATTTAGTCTATCATTAGCTTTTCCTTGTTCTTCTTTGGTTACATTTTCGATATTTTTCACAGCTTGTTCATGAAATTCCTTTTGTTTTTGAATAAATAAAGTTTTATATTCTTCTAACTCCGTCCTAATCTTCTCTATTTCTTCCTTTAGCTTAGCTTCTTTCGTATTATTTTCTTCTGATTTGTGAACAAATCTTTCTTTCTCAGCTTGTCTTTCTGCTTCTGCAATTTCCAGTTTCTCTTTCAAGGAAATGTTACTCGCCTGCTCCTGGGACAAACTCAGAAGTAGTTTGTCTTTTTCTTCTCGTAAAACCTTCAGTTCAACTTTAGCATCGTTGGTTGTGTTTTGAAAATCAATAGACTGAAACAAAAAGTACAATTTTTCTTACAATTGAAATTCATTCGTATACTTTCTATTGTGATTCTGCATGGGGTAGATGGAATAGTTATCTTTCTAAAACACCCAGTTGTAACCAAAAACATAAAATCTGTTGAATATGCCGTAGAATATTCTTTGGAACGAGCAAAAGAGGACCATTCCAGGCAAAGCTTACCCTTTCGCCTTATGTTAAACCMCAGACCTCCTTAACGACGTTCATGGACAAAAATTCCCATCGTCAAATTTAAAAAAATGCTGTAATGATGGAACTACATCATACTAGAAGTAAAATAAGCAAATAAAAAATGGGGTCCCCGACTTTGTTCAGCAGTCAGAATACGTAGAAGTATTTTTACGTAAAAACCCGCGAACAACGTAGGCATGGAAAGCTGTAAAAATATGCCATCTCTTATTGAAAAAATAATTTGATCGTCCCCATTTCCCCCAGAATTCTAGAAAGTAGCCCAATTATTAGGTTGCTTAAATTTTATTTTAAAAAGTTAGAAATATAAAATGTTATTGGACTGTAAGTGTGGACTTGGAGCCTTCACGTTAGGTGCGCAAGCGTGCATCACACGAATGATGCACTCCAATAGTCCCCTTACAGTTCCCTGCGCCATCTTGAAAGGTAGTCATGCCTTTGCATSGAAACGAGATGTTGCAAGCTCACCGTTCGTCTGGCTTCGATGCAAAGGCACGGCTACCATTCAAGATGGCGCAGGGAACTGTGAAGGGGACTATTGTAAAAATGTTGAACTTAGACAATGTACAGTTACACTGAACTTACCTTCTTTTCAAATTCACTTACGGCATCACTTTTTTCTTTCTCCATTTTTGTGAGCTCCAGACRCAAAACCTTGGTTTGGTCAAATAAGCTAGAAACTTCTGTTTCATGCTGCTTTCTAAATTTAGAGGAAAAGCTTAGTAAATAAAAATAAAAATATATAATTTTATTTCTCGTATTTTGAGGCCGGGGTGGTTTGCTAACTGCTTGACAGCAAACCAAAAAATTACAGGGTTTCAAATAGCTAACGGAAACTGGCAAAAGGCGGGTAATTTTCTTAACTTTCCTAGATGTAAAAATCTACACATGACGGTGAGTAAACACCTTTTGGATAGATCTTTGTTTAGAATCATACGTATTTTTTTCTTAAAATTACTCAAGCCATTATCTTTGAAGAAAAATGTAAACAAATGATTTTAACCTTAAATACTAATAGCAAAAAATATTTATTTTGGAGGACTTTAGAGTCTAAAACATTTTCCTTTGCTTGAGGAGTAGAGAAAAAAGACGTGAAAAAATCAAAACAAAAACAAACACACACACACACACACACAAAACAAACGACAACAACATATCCGATATACATTTTGACGCCTTATGTTACATATAGTCAAACGTAGCACGCTCATTCTAAGACCACACATTACAAGGGTGGATCCAGAATTTTTTGAAGGGGGGGTCTCAGGGGTAAATTTTGTGGGCAAAGGAATCCCAGTCGCATTTTTAMCACAGGAAGCCCATTTGACCTCAGGAATGACAGGGGGGTCGCGACCCCCCGACCCTCCCCCTGGATCCGCCCTTGCATTACACATCATAATCACATCTGACACGC